CTGGTGGAATCCCAGCCTGGAAACCCTCACGGAGAAGGGTGTTTGCCCAGCGTCCCAGTCTCAGGAGGGCACTGAACCACAGCTCCGACCCTTCACGGTGACGACAGCAGTATAATACAGAAAAACCAATTCCAATGCTTCTATAACCCTGGAGAAAATACACCCACACTTTTGGGAGCATTTTCACTTGAAAGGAAGCACCTGCTGCCTTTTCATTTGTGAAGAAATTCATTCATATCTGAATGCAGGCCAGCACTGCTTGGTGCTTGAAACCCAAGCGTGCCTCTTGGCTTAAAAAAAAAATTAGAACAGAATTGGCCACCTAATCACTGGAACACAGAGGCTGCCTCACAGGCTGCTCCAGGAGGAAGCCACTGATAAATTCTTAATCTCGGATCTGTGCCCCTGGCTGGAGTTCACGAGCACCCTCTAAAGCAGGAGGAGAAGGCACCTGTGTTATCAAAGCGCCTTTCATCCCAGCGAAACAGTCCTGTGCTCGGCGTGCACCGCCCAAGGCCGTTCTCTTCAAGCCTCAGCACTCCGTGCAGTCAGCACACACTCTCCCAGGGAAGGAGCGCAGGACAGGGCACCCGGGGGTGCTGGGGGTCGCCCTGCGGCATATGTATAGTGGGAATAGGGCTCCTCTCACTGCACTTTCAGGACACACCTGCCTGCTCAGCAACCCTGATGCAGGTGCGCCCAGTGCAGGTTGCCATGGCTGTGTGTGGCTGGCAGCCCTGGGCCCGTAGGCTCCACCCAGCTCCTGTCTTCTCCCGGGGGGAGGCGGCTCCCTCACTTCTGTGCCTGTGTAGTCACTGTTTTCAGATTTGGGAGAAGTGAGATGGTCATAAACTCTGCCCCCTTGGAGAAATCTCTTGCATGGCATTTGACTGATGCCAGTCCAGACTCTGCTTAAACACCTATGAGGTCACTGCTTTCCTGCCAGGTCCGTGCCGCCGGAGGCCAGCTGCATTGTCTGGGAGGATTTTTACTTTGAGAATCGGGTTGAAATTTGCCTCTGTCTAACTGGGAATTGGTAGGGCTCCTAAAGGGGCCTTCCTGTCACTGCCCACTCCTCTGAGGTTTTCCTCCCACCACCTCCCACCATTGCTCCAATGGGGAGGACTTCCAGAACCACATGGAACAGGGGTGCTCTCCACTGTGTAAGCATCCTCTGTGTGTGCTGTCATCCTTTCCTTCACTTCCAAATCTCCCCAGTTCCACCCTGAACACTGTTAGTTAATGGAGACCACTGCTTACGTGGTGACGTTTCCCCTCGGAGGGCACAGGCCAGGTGTAGGGAAGGCATGGGGAGCCTTTCCCCTTCCCGCAGGCAGGTGTAATGCAGCCCACTGGGGACTGGGTGGCAGGTAAGACCGGAACAGGAAATGTTTCAGAGGTGTCACAGGGCTGGCACTTTGGAGTTGCCCACATTCACTGAATGAGCTAAGCCAGCATCTGTAGGAATGCCCTCTGAATGGCAACAGTTACCTCAAAAAGTTCTAGAAATGCCGGTGGAGAGGGCAGGTGAACACACAGCTGCAGTCAGACGCTTGGCATGATCAGACCCAAGGCAAATCAACTGCTGCACAGAACGCCCTGGGCCCTCCAGCACCTGCCTGCGGGAAGGGGAAAGGCTCCCCACGCCTTCCCTACACCTGGCCTGTGCCCTCAGAGGGGAAACGTCACCACGTAAGCAGTGGTCTCCATTAACTAACAGTGTTCAGGGTGGAACTGCCAGGCGACATGTGTAACAAAAGGATCACAGTCCATTCCCCGTGATGATGGTGGGTGATGGTGATGATGGAGATGATAATGATGGTGTCAATGGTGGTGATGTTGATGGTGATGATGGCGATGATGATGGTGATGATGATGGTAGTGTTGGTGATGATGATGGTGATGATGGTGATGATGGTAGTGTTGGTGATGATGATGGTGATGATGATGGTGATGTTGGTGTTGATGGTGATCGTGAAGATGACATTGGTGATGGCAATGATGATGTGACAGTGATGATGATGATGGTGTTGATGGTGATGATTGTGGTGGTGATGTTGATGTTCATGTTGATGGTGATGATGCTGATGATGATGGTGATGATGATGGTGATGTTGGTGTTGACGGTGATGGTAATGGTAGTGTTGGTGATGATGATGGTGATGTTGGTGATGTGATGGTGAAGATGACATTGGTGATGATGATGGTAGTGTTGGTGATGATGGTGATGATGATGATATTGATGGTGATGATAGTGTTGATGGTGATGGTGGTGGTGATGGTGGTGATAATGGAGATGATAATTATGGTGTTGATGGTGATGATTGTGGTGGTGGTGATGTTGATGGTGATGATGGTGATGATGGTAGTGTTGGTGATGATGATGGTGATGATGATGATGGTGATGGTGACAGTGATGATGATGATGGTGATGATGGTGATGGTGAAGATGGCATTGGTGATGGCGATGATGATGTGACAGTGATGATGATGATGGTGTTGATGGCAATGGTAGTGTTGATGGTGATGGTGATGACTGCATTGGTGATGATGGTGTTGATGGTGATGGTGAAGATGGCATTGGTGATGGTGATGATGATGGTAGTGTTGGTGATGATGATGGCTATGATGATGGTGATGGTGAAGATGACATTGGTGATGGTGATGATGATGTGACAGTGATGATGATGATGGTGTTGATGGTGATGATGAAGATGACATTGGTGATGGCAATGGTGATGTGACAGTGATGGTGATGATGGTGTTGTGATGGTGATGATAATGGAGATGATAATTATGGTGTTGATGATGGTGATGATTGTGGTGGTGGTGATGTTGATGGTGATGATGGTGATGATGGTGATGATGATGGTAGTGTTGGTGATGATGATGGTGATGGTGATGATGATGGTGATGGTGAAGATGGCATTGGTGATGGCGATGGTGATGTGACAGTGATGGTGATGATGGTGTCAGTAGTGTTGATGGTGATGACTGCATTAGTGATGGTGTTGATGGTGATGGTGAAGATGGCATTGGTGATGGCAATGGTGATGTGACAGTGATGGTGATGATGGTGTTAATGATGGTGATGGTAGTGTTGATGATGATGGTGATGACTGCCTGGTGATGGTGGTGGTGATAAGGATGGTGATGGTGGGTGTTCAGATGTGGCTAACTGTGTACCTTCACATATACATGGTTATAAAGGCATTTAGGCTCAAAAGCTGCTGTGCATGATTCCCATGGTCTTTGTGAAAACAGTGTTGTGGTGAGGTTATCATCTGCAGGCTGTTGCTGATTCTTCAAAGCTTGTACCGTTCTGTTTTGGAGACCCTAGGATGACCTGTAATCTCATCAGGCCAGGCCGTGGCAGTTGAGCATGCAGAGTCCTGTGAGCTGATCTCTTACTCCAGGCTTTACACATTTAATGTCCTGACATTTTGTGTAATTGCCTTATGAGAGCCCACTTGGAGCACTGAAAGCTACTTAAAATGTCATTGTAAACTGGGCAGATCACAGAATTACATGGTGCAGTTGATGGAACACAACTTTTGACTTGGGTGTTCTTGTGATTTGTGCCCTGTGCCACAGACTTCTCCCCCAGGGCTCACGGGCGCTTCGAAATGTCCTTCCTCATTTCTCTCCATCTCCAATTGGCGAGTAACGGATGCTGCTCAGATAACTCAGCTCACAAAATGCTGCATGCAGTTTTCAGAGGCTACATGGGCGGGGATTCCTACAGCATTAACCGTCTTCCCATAAGCTGGCCAGCAATTTAGAATCTTCTCTGGTATATATTTAAGGTTTCTTGAATGCTATTTTTCATTAATGATAACCTAAAAAATTCCTTTTTCAGACGAGAGGAAGTAATTTTAGGAATTATACGTCATTATTCCATTTTGAAGGTGGATTTTTTTATTATTGTGATTCGAAGAGGCCCACTGAAAATGTCTGCTGTTCTCTATCTTTACCATAAAGAACATGAGGTTTTATTTCGTGGCAATCGTGTTTCTGCTCTCCGGTCCACTTAACAAGACTCAAACCAAAGGGAGTCAAAGGAAAGGGGGCACATGGCAGCCGTAAGAGAGAGGTTTTCTGAGTTGCTAAATGGGACAGCTGTGTTAGAAGTGGGGCACAATCTCCTGTCAGTGAATCCTGAGCATTAGCAGGTACCAACAGTCCATTCAGGTGGGAGTTACTGACTCAGTTTCACACAGAGGGATCCTGAGGCTGGAAGAAGCTAGATGGGGTCCCCGAGTCCAACCATGGTGAATGGCGGGGTGGAATTTGAATGCGGGTTTGGCTGTGTCCAGAGAGCACCCCTCTCTCCGCGTCATGCGCCTTCTCTGGAAGATTGTCGCCTGTTTGCTGTAGATCTTTTAGGGTTTCTGCCCTGAGTGCCCTGCCTGTGACCAGCGGGACCCTCATCCCACGTGGGCTGGCACAAGACCAAACATGGCCATGTGGGCGCCTGCCAGGCTCCTGAGGGCCTCGCGGCCATGCCCAGGCCCCACACCTGGAACAGACCCTCCCAAGGCTCCCACTGCGTGGCTGTGGGGACACCATCCATTTAGAGCCCTTTTTTTCTGTCCTCATCATGTCCAGTCTGTTGGCACCTCACTTCCGAGCACACCCAGGATGCCCCATCCTCCCCACTGGCCGGCTCCCCCAGCCCGGCCCACCACCACCAACCCTCCCCGGATCTGACTAGACGTGGCCTCCTGCTTCTGACCTTGTGTCAGCCCTGCAGAATGGTTCTTGTGAAACTGTCAATCAGATGATATCCCACTGCTCAGACCATACCATGGCTTCTCAGTAAAAATCAGAGCTCTTTGCCCGGGCTGCGAGACCCTGTGTATCAGTGGCGCCGCACCCATCTGTCCTCTCCCTCCGTATCCTGGTGAAACAGGAAGTGTTCCCTTGTCTCCCTCTCAGGGTGTGCAATGGGGGTGTGGCTGGCTTCTTCAGTGTCCTCCTGCTCAGACCTCTAGGGGAGCATGCAGCCGGGCAGGTGGCGGAGCTCCGACCCACAGCAGCGTCTAGGGCGAATGTTTGCCCAGTGGGCGTGTATTCCAGGGGGCTCTTTCAGTTTTGCTTTTAATTTTGCCCTCAGTAGGCAGCTTATGTTATTCAGCTCAGCTAGACCCCTGCCTTATCATAAGGACAGAGGGCTTTCTGTATCCTGGGCTCTTGCCTTGGTGTATTGGAAGAATCAGGTCATATGTGGCTTGGAGAAGTGCAACGTTGTATTGAGTAGAAGTAGCTCTCAGCAGATGGGGGATGAGTCTGCCCTGCAGTCAGGCTGCTGGGAGGCCCGGGCTCTCCTCCAACTGCTCTGGCCAAACTCTGTCATTCTGCTGGTGCATGCGCTGCCAGTGTCTGCCTGTGTGCTCCTGTCCACCGGTGGATGGTGCGCTGGTGCCTGTCTGTCTGTATGTCTGTGTGCCCCTGTCCACCAGTGGATGGCGTGCTGGCGTCTGTCTGTCTGTCTGTGTGCCCCTGTCCACCAGTGGAGGGCGCGCTGGCGTCTGTCTGTCTGTCTGTCTGTGTGCTCCTGTCCACTGGCCAATGGCACGCTGGCATCTATCTGTCTGTCTGTGTGCCCCTGTCCACCAGTGGATGGCGTGCTGGCGTCTGTCTGTCTGCCTGTGTGCCCCTGTCCACCAGTGGATGGCGCGCTGGCGTCTGTCTGTGTGCCCCTGTCCACCAGTGGATGGCGCGCTGGCGTCTGTCTGTGTGCCCCTGTCCACCAGTGGAGGGCGCGCTGGCGTCTGTCTGTCTGTCTGTGTGCTCCTGTCCACTGGCCAATGGCACGCTGGCATCTGTCTGTCTGTCTGTGTGCCCCTGTCCACCAGTGGATGGCGCGCTGGCGTCTGTCTGTCTGCCTGTGTGCCCCTGTCCACCAGTGGATGGCGCGCTGGCATCTGTCTGTCTGTGTGCCCCTGTCCACCAGTGGATGGCGTGCTGGCGTCTGTCTGTCTGCCTGTGTGCCCCTGTCCACCACTGGAGGGCGTGCTGGCATCTGTCTGTCTGTCTGTGTGCTCCTGTCCCACTGGCCGATGGCACGCTGGCGTCTGTCTGTCTGTCTGTGTGCCCCTGTCCACCAGTGGAGGGCGTGCTGGCATCTGTCTGTCTGTGTGCCCCTGTCCACCAGTGGAGGGCGCGCTGGCGTCTGTCTGTCTGTGTGCTCTTCTGCCAGCGTGCTCCTCTTGGCGTCCAGCCGCTTGTGTGTGTGCCTGCTAGGGTCTTGGCGGTTTTATTGGGTCTTTATTAGGGTTAATTAGTGAGGCTGGAGGTTAGAGGCACAGGATGGGGTGTGACAGGGGTCAGGGTGGTCTTGGGAAAGAAATGCAGCATTTGTGAAGGCAGCAGTGCCTGTCCTCACCTAGGTCCGTGGGGGTGGAGCCCTAGCCAGGGACCCGCCCTCCTCTAGCCAGCACTTCCCTTTCCCCTTCCGTATCATTTAAAGGGACCAGTTCTTCCCTTCCGGGTGCTCCCGTATCACCGTGAGCTCTCCGCCTGGGGGCTGCATTATGGACACTCTGGCCTCCTGTCTGTTCTTCCAGCCCAACATGCCAGGCAGTTTCTGCCCAAGGCCTTTGTGCCTGCTGCTGCTCCTGCCTGAAGACAGCTTCCTAGGGCCTGCCAGGCCCACACTCACATGTCAGGTCTCTGCTGAAACTTCACCTCTCGGTGAGGCTCCTCCGGCAGTCCTGTATGAAATAGCCTCTCCCCAGCCCCCATCCTTCATACTCTGGGTTATTTCTCTATAGCATCAATCACCATCATTCTATGCACTCATGTTTTTTACTGTTTGTTTCCCATCTCTTCTAACGTAGATGGAAGTCCCACAAAAGCAAGGACTTTGCTAATGGGTTTATCTGTGTGCCTTCAAAGGGACCTGGTGCAAAGGAGATGTGCCATAAATGTCTGTGGCAGGAAGGCAGGAGGACAGGTGGGAAAGCAGGAAGGCAGGAATGCAGGAAGGCAGGCAGGCAAGAAGGAAGGCAGGAAGGCAGGCAGGAAGGAAGGCAGGAAGGCAGGCAGGAAGGAAGGCAGGAAGACAGGCAGGCAGGAAGGAAGACAGGCAGGAAGGAAGACAGGAAGGAAGGCAGGAAGGAAGGAAGGCAGGCAGGAAGGAAGGAAGGCAGGAAGGCAGGCAGGAAGGAAGACAGGCAGGAAGGCAGGAAGGCAGGCAGCAAGGAAGGAAGGCAGGAAGGCAGGAAGGCAGGCAGCAAGGAAGGAAGGCAGGAAGGCAGGCAGGAAGGAAGGAAGACAGGCAGGAAGGCAGGAAGGAAGGCAGGAAGGCAGGCAGGAAGGAAGGAAGGCAGGAAGACAGGCAGGCAGGAAGGAAGACAGGCAGGAAGGCAGGAAGGCAGGAAGGCAGGCAGGAAGGAAGGAAGGCAGGAAGGCAGGCAGGAAGGAAGGAAGGCAGGAATGAAGGAAGGAAGGCAGGAAGACAGGCAGGAAGGAAGGAAGGCAGGAAGGCAGGCAGGAAGGAAGGAAGGCAGGAATGAAGGAAGGAAGGCAGGAAGACAGGCAGGAAGGAAGGAAGGCAGGAAAGAAGGCAGGAAGGAAGGAAGGAAGGCAGGAAGGAAAGCAGGAAGGAAGGTAGGAAGGCAGGAAGGCAGGAAGACAGGCAGGAAGGAAAGCAGGAAGGAAGGAAGGAAGGCAGGCAGGAAGGAAGGCAGGAAGACAGGCAGGAAGGAAAGAAGGAAGGAAGGCAGGAAGGAAGGAAGGCAGGAAGACAGGAAGGCAGGAAGCCAGCGAGAGAGGGAGGGAGGGAGGAAGGGAGGAAGGACGGGGAGAAGGAAGAAAGGAAGGGAACAGAAAGAAGAGAGGGAGGAAGGGAAGAGATGGAATATTTCACCTCCTGAAGCTCTCATCTGACCCTAAAGAGGAGGGTGTGGCTCATACCCGAACCACCACCCCATTGCAGGCAGAGTAGAGACTGCCTGCAGATCGCCTGAAGTAGGTCGTGTGGTGAGGAGCAGAAAGGCGGGTGGAGTGGGCAGGAAGGGGCATGGGCAGAAGGCAGGATGGTAGCAGGCCCTGGCCTCCTGATAGGAGGCACCGTGAGGTACTGAGATGAACAAGCGTGACTCTAAGCAGGGTGGGACGCACCAAGGGACATGTGCCTCTCTCCGGTTCTGTGTGGGGCCCATTTGCTGCAAATCAGCAGGATAATTCCACCGGCATGTTGGGTTGGAAGAACAGGAGGGTGGCCAGAGTGTCTGCAGTGCGACCAGCATGGAGGACAGCTTACAGGACATGAGGGGAAAGGAGTGGGGGCTGGACCCCCAGCTGAAGACACACAGCATCTCACAGACCAGGCAAAGGAGAGAACTTTGCAGACACCCAGATAATGCTCACTTTTCCCTGAGTTACGGATCTCACCTCAGGAACCCCACTGGTCATGCTTACAAGGATGGAGTTGGAGGGGCTGAAGGTGACACTGAGATCTCACGGAGAAACAGTCTCTTCACGTAGATGCTGCTTGACCTGATAGAAACGCCCACAGGCTTCTGGGCTCCAGGAGCTGGTGAACACTGGTTAGTTTTGCAGTGAAGGTGGGTGCAGGGGACACAGAGACACCTGCCTGCTGAGTCCATGCCAGGTCAGGTGGCAGAGATGCCCCTTTCGAGCTCCTTAGGGTGGATGTCTCAGCCCTGCATGTCACAGATGGAGACAGGCACAGCCTTGGTGAGCCCAGGTGCTCAGAAATGGAGCATGCTTGTCCACAGAATGTTCTGGTTACATTAGCCTTCGGCAGAAACACAGTGTGGATTCCACACTTGCTTACAAATCTCTCATGAATACATGGATCTATTTTTCTGCCTTGGCCAGTGTTCCTGAAGCGTGAAGGTGGGTCCCACACACGCTGCCCCGCGTGAGGTGTCGGCGGCTGTGGGGAACAGTGCTGTTGCTGGGCGAGCCTCACTGGAGGCTGCCTCCGCCCCACGCCTCTTCCTTCATGTGACATGCTTCCTTATCTTCATGCCCCCGGCGCCACACTGCACCACCTAAATTTGACGTGTCTGTAATGAGGGTTAATAAACAGCAAAGCATGGTTTTGCTTACTTTTTATTCTCATTTTTCATATATTTTATTTGTTTTCTATTCAGAGTACATTCTTGCCCTTTTTGTTCAGCATAACTTAGATCCCAAAATTATATGGTGTTTTTTTCAAGAAACATCACTTGGGGTTATCTTTATTTTTTTAAAGATGGAATCTCACTGTGTCACCCAGGCTGGAGTGCAGAGGCACAATCTCAGCTCACTGCAACCTCTGCCTCCCATGTTCAAGCGATTCTCCTGCCTCAGCTTCCTGAGTAGCTGGGACTACAGGCATGTGCCACCATCCCTGGCCAATTTTTATATTTTTAGTTGAGATGGGGTTTCCACCATGTTGGCCAGGCTGGTCTTGAACTCCTGACCTCGGGTGATTTGCCCACCTCGGCCCCCCAAGGTGCTGGGATTACAGGCATGAGCTACTGTGCCCTGTTGGGCTTATCTTTTAAAAAATCAGTGAGTTAACTGGGTTGCCTTTGTTTGAGATTAAAAATAAGAAGGCTTTTTTTTTTAACCTCTTGAAAAAAGATAACATCTTACACTTTTTATGTTTTAAGAGTTTATAATGGGCTGGGCACGGTGGCTCATGCCTGTAATCCCAGCACTTTGGGAGGCCGAGGTGGGTGGATCACGAGGTCAAGAGATTGAGACCATCCTGGTCAACATGGTGAAACCCGTCTCTACTAAAAATACAAAAATTAGCTGGGCATTTGGCACGCACCTGTAGTCCCAGCTACTCAGGAGGCTGAGGCAGGAGAATTGCCTGAACCCAGGAGGCAGAGGTTGTGGTGAGCCAAGATCACGCCATTGCACTCCAGCCTGGGTAATAAGAGTGAAACTCCGTCTCAAAGAAAAAAAGAGTTTATAATGAAAAGACACTGATTAAAATTTATGTCAATTTAGTTGTTAATTTCCAGGGGTAGAATGTAGGCAGTGATTTGCAAATAGATGCCATTGCTTTATAAAAGTTTTGAGGTTTTTGGTTGGGATTTGGGAAGGTCACTTGCATTCCACATACGGTAATTGGTGCCAGCTTGGAGAGTGTGTCAGCCCAGACTGGTCCACTTGAGGAGGAAAGAGACATGGCATGAGATGAGTTGTCATTCAGTCTCTTCACAGTCATTCAGTCTCTGCCCAATACAGGTCAATGGTTCATTTTCCTTGTACGTTAAGTTTGCCTGTACTATCCATTGGTCAAGTCTTTCTGGCCTCCAAAACATTTTCCTGTGTCTGTGTGGGTGTGAGAACAATATTGTAGCCATCAAGAAAACGAAGCTTTAAATTTTCTGTTGTTTCTTAGAATTATGTTTGCTCCCAGGCTTTGATTGCAATAGATCCGTGATACAGGTGGATGCAGTACATGGGAGGGTGAGGGGGTGGGTGGGTGGATGGATGGATGGACAGAGACTGGGCTTGATCACAATAGATGCCCGGTACAGGTCAATGCAGTACATGGGAGGGTGAGGGGGTGGGAAGGTGAGGGGGTGGGTGGGTGGACAGAGAATGGGCTTGGTCACAATAGATGCCCAGTACAGTTGGATGCAGTACATGGGAGGGTGAGGGGGTGGGAGGGTGGATGCTTTGACTTTAATGAGAGGTTCATTATTTTTTTTAATATAGGCTAATATTTTGGCAGGAAATAGTGTCAAAATACATAATCTTTTGGATGCTGAGCAGGTTGGAGGGGCTGCCAGCTTGTGTGGCCGAGCGTCTCTGGGCTCTCTGACCGCGCTCTTTGCTTCTCACCGAAGGATCACCATGAGATGTGGACAGAGCTTCTCCCACAGAAGCAAGTATTTGTCTTCAGGATGGACGGGAAAGGGGAGAGAGTCAAAAGCTAAGATGACTTCTCATGGCCTCGTTTCGTGATAATAGTTATAATTTATTAAGCACTCGCAGGATGCTGGGCACATGCCTCACTTGTCACCGTTTTGTAGATAAGGAAACTGAGGCATGAAGAAATTAGAGAACTTGTCCAAGGCCACAGACTGTGGGCGCCGGGGCTATGACTCAGGAAGCGCGGTCAGCCTTTTCTCACGGGAGTCCAGCCTGGCAACGCCCAGGGTAGAGCAGCGCAAGGATGGATGATCAGATTGATGGGAACTTTAAATATGTCCATGGAAACCAAGGTCCCAGCCACAATGATGGGAAAAGGACTGTGAGATGGTGCCCTCCAGATTCTACAATAATCAGGCCTGAGGAGGCGGGCAGGCAGCTGCAGCCCACCGCAGAGGGGCCCCGGTGGCTCCGTGCTGACAGCTGCATGCCGAACCCGGCCACGCAGGGTACTCTGGCTTTGCCGCCGTGTGCGACGGCCTTTCGGCTCATATTGCTGTTTCTTCCTCCCTTCCTGCCCACCGCAGAGCCTCGGTTTCTCAGGGGTGGATGCCTGCCAGGTCCCCGAACTCTATGTCCCCAGCTGCTCTCTGTCGATACAAGTAGGCGGTTCACACGGTTGAGTGTGGCACTCACTGCCTCAGGATGTACCGGGCACCGCTGGCCCTGCTCACCGTGGAGGGAGGGAGGCCTCGCCGCACCGTGGTATTCTGGAAACATGCCTAGTCGTGGAATTTCTCCTTCAGAGCAGGTGCTTGGCCTCTGTGTGGGTTTGAGAGGGAAACAAGCATCATTTTGCAAAGTTCAGGATGTGTCAGCACGCCTCTCTCTCTGTTAGGTGTGACTCACCAGTGTTCGCAGTGATGGTGTTTGCTGTTAGAAACAGACTGCAGCCTCTTCCCCTTGAGGTGGCGGGAGAGGCACCAGCCTGCCCCGGAGGGAGAGGTGAGCACCCCATCCTGGGATGCAAGCTGATGTCTGCTTTCTGTCTTTCTTTCTTTTTAGTCTTGCTGTTTCGCCCAGGCTGGAGCATAGTGGCGCAATCTCGCCTGCTCACTGCAGCCTCCACCTCTCAGGTGCAAGCGATTCTTCTCCTGGCTGAGTCTCCTGAGTAGCTGGGACTACAGCGTCCACCACCACGCCCGGCTAATTTTTTGTATTTTTAGTGGAGATGCAGTTTCACCATGTTGCCCAGGCTGGTCTCCAACTCCTGGGCTGAAGCAGGCTGCCCGTCTCGGCCTCCAAAGTGCTGGGATTACAGGTGTGGGCCGCCGTGCCTGGCCTGTCTGCTTTCTCCTTCTTTTGGCATTTTACTGCTAGTGACACTGTGGCCACTCTGCGTGGAATACCCAGCCCACGCACATCATTTTTATAAACCTTAGGGGGCTCGGAAAAGTTTATTTGCGGATCAGTATGGCAAAACATGATTCATTTTCACCGGAAATCCCAAATTTAAGAACATTTAACCTTATTTGTTGAGAAGTCACAGAATTTTTATTCTTTCACCATTGGTCAAAATATCACAACCAGCTTTTCAGCCCTTCAGACACACAGGGCCTTGCAGAAGAATGGTTAGTGGAGTTCCACTCCACACTCCCCCACAGGGACCACCTTACCTTCTGGGAGCTGCAGTGGGGCTGCCCTGGGGAGCTCTGGCCACTGGGCGGCGGGGGGAGGGGACAGCGGCTGCTCCACTTGGGAGCTCAGGAAGGCGGTGTCCGCAGAGGCAGGTGAAGGTTCCTAGTCTCTGCAGGGCCTGCTGTGCTGAGCTAGTGTGCAGAGTCTTTTTGTCTTTTTTGGGAGGTATCTTTGGACTTGGAAGTGGATGGTTCTACCACCCTGGGAGGCCCCACCACTTCCTGCAAGTTGTGACATCGGA